CCATTGGCCTTCTTGGCAACAAGGGCACCCTGCTGGCTCATGGCCAGCTTGTCCCCCACCAGGACTCCCAGGTCCCTCTGGGCAGAGCTGCTTCCCAGCAGGTCAGCCCCCAGCCTGGACTGGTGCCTGGGGTTCGACCTCCCCAGGGGCAGCACTCGACACCTGCCCTTGTTGACCTTCATCATGTTCCTCTCCGCCCAACTCTCCAGCCTGTCCAGGTCCCGCTGAACGGCAGTGCAGCCTTCCCATGGATCAGCCACTCCTCCCAGTTTGGTGTCATCAGCGAACTTGCTGAGGGTCCACTCTGTCCCCTCGTCCAGGTCATTGATGAACAAGTTGAACAAGACTGGGCCGAGTACCGAGCCCTGGGGAACTCCTGGGGACGACGAAATAAGCACGGAAAAGGAAAGTGGTTGCTAAAAAACCCCCGTCAGCAATGCAGTCAATCATTGCTGTAACGGCCACGCAAAGCCAACACTTGGCTAGGAGAAGGACAACAGTTGAACTCCTGCAAGGCTGCTACTTCAGACCCTGCAATGCCACTGCCCGGCCCGCACGTGTGGGTATTTTGGGGGTTTCCCTGCGTCATGGGATAGTTCTGAACACTCTGTCCTGCTGCGAGTGCTGTCGAATTTCTGCATCTGGTGAATTCAAAATAGATGGAGTCATGGACATCCTCAAAGCCTTTAAAAGCCCCATCCCCCTTGCGTATCCGTCAAAAATGTCCAAAGATGACTATGAAAGACAATTCTTTTTCTCTTTGAAGTTTGACCCATCGGAGCACTCTCTCCTTCAAAATAATCAGATACCAATGGCACTTTTTAAATTCTGTGATTAAGGACGTGATCCAAAGTGACAGAGCCTGGGATTAGGCAAAAACCCCAAACCCCAACCCAGATACAAGTAGTCCTGGTAGCCCCCACGCTAATTCCTGTTGGCAGAGTATTTCTGAAGCTCAGCCACATCTGCCAGACACGGGGTGAACTCTTAGCCCCAGAAAAGCGTACCAGCCCATGTAGACTACAGACAATGAAACCCAAATTTTTACATCAGCCCTGAAAATCTGTTCAAGCTGAGACCTGCAAGGATTTGCTGCTGCAATATCCCTGGACTTAAGTTCCAACTCTTCCATTCTCTACTCTATACAAGACACGTAGGGGTGATTTTGAATTTCCATGAGCGCTGGCTCTATTTACAAGCAGAGAGAAGCAGCTAAGAGCACATTCATCGTGGTCCATAAGCAGCCAGGAGCAAAAGGCTAGCTGATATAAAATACGTAGCTGACTTTGCCCGATAGACTCATGACCAAACATGCCCAGCGAGCTGCAAGCTACCAAAGGCAAAATCCAGCTGGTGGGAAGGCTACCACACCTCTTGCTCCGTTTTCCTCCTCTGCTGTCACCTTCATTTTCCTTTAATGAGATGCTTACTGTGAAATAACTTCTGCCCCTGGGTTCCAGCAATGATGCACTCCAGACCCAGCAGATCCAATGGCTTGCATGCGCCCCTGATAAAATTCACGTTCTTTGGGACATTGGGAATTCAGGAATTTCACAGGGAAGGACTACAGCTACTCTTCGCTACGCCCACTCTGGCTACGATTTCTAGAGCTATTGGGGCTGTAAATATTTCTCGACTCCAACTGGAGGGTGTAGGAATTCAGCAGCAATTTTAACCTTTAAGAGTTCAAACCCAATTATCCCCTCAATGCAAAGAAAAAGATCTTTGGAGCTCCGGCTCCAGGCACTCGTGGTGTATTTCATCATCGCTCAAGGTTCCCATCTCTATTGGTAAAAGAGAGACATACTTTGTCCTTCACTTTTCCCCACGGTTCTCTTTCTGATTACACCAGAGAAATCCATGGTGGTGGTGGTGGGATTAAAGCTCCAGCCTGTGGCTTACAAGTTACCAGTGCCGCTTGATACAGAATTTGATGTTGATAAAAAACAAGGAGGATGCTCCACCGGGTGACTCAAAAGCAAAACCCTCCCTGAGTTTTAATGCCTCTGCACGAGATGACTTGGCCTTTTTTAGAAGCGTTATCTTCTAAAATCTTGCTTCTGCATGGAGTCATTCGCACGTGCTTCGCACTATCCAGCCAAAGATCATTTTTTAATAGGAATATTTCTTCCCCTAGAAGCATGTGACTGAACTAAAGACAGCGACGAGTGCCTCGTTACCTTGGCAATGTACG